ATGTTCAGAGCCCCCCAGGAAGCACACACCTTGCTCTTGCCCTGCCCTTGGTGTTTGACTTCCCCTTCCTTGACACCAATCACGCTGTTTTTAACTTCCTGGGTGCTTTTCTTTCTCCAACTCCCCAAGCAGACTGGGAACCTTAAGAGCAAAGGTTGTTGATTCTTCACCATTCCCTCGCTGGCCCCCAGCACAATGCCAATAGAGTCCATGCTCAGTACGGGTTTGTTGAATGGGTGGGTGGCTAGATGGATCTAGGGCAGAAGGGATGTCCTCAAAGCAGCCAGCAAAGCAGTCCCAAAATTCCAGCCCATGTTGGGAGTCTGCTGCCCTAAAGGGAGCTGGAGTTTTTGGAGAATACCTGTTTACTCTGCATACAGAGTTCCAGGACATTAGAAGTTCTGCAAATAGAACTTCTTCCCAGAATTGACTCCTGTTCTCTGAGGACGTGCTGGCTTCTGTGCACGTTTCCTACTAAAAAGGAAAACTTGTTTTCAGCAATAACTTAGTAATCTGTATAAGCAAAAACACCACTGCATGTTATTTTCTTGTTTCTTTGTTCATATCTTTAATAAAAGCTTGGGCTGGGAGAGTGAAAGCCAGAGCTGCTCTCAATGGCTCTCCCCAGCCTCCCCCCATTGCAAATTAATTTGGACTCCGAGTCTGTTAATGGTAGAGAACTTCATCAGCCATCCTGTCTGCAGCAAGCCCGTAGATTTCTTCTATTGACTTCTTTTCTCATTCCCCTCCCTCTTAAAGAATTTCTTCTTAAGGAAATTCTAAAGGGGTTGTTTCAATTACAGGTCATACAGAGAACAGGCTCAAATGGCAAAGCCTCATGCATGGCTATCATTCCTCTAAGGAGGAGCTCTGCAGGGAGATTCATGGAGCTGTGGGTAACTCTGCTGGGTGACTTTGGAGAGGAAGGATAGAGGTACTTTCGTTGATTCACAATCTACCATAGGACCATGCCAGGCACTTTCACATAGAATAGTCATTCAGTTCTCACAACCATACAGGATACAAAACATGCCATTCCCATGTTTGCTGATGAGAAAACGGAGCCTCAGAGAGATGATAGACATTGACCAAATTATAGGCTATAACTCCCAGGCTCTCCCTCAGGTCTGCCTGGCACTGAAGCCTGAGCATATTCCTTTCACTCCCTGCTTTTAGAGACTTGAAATGAACCTTGGAGGCCTGAAAGGAACCTTGGAGTTTGTCCATGTATTTCCCTTTTTGCTGTTAAAATAATTTTCCTTAAAAAAAAGAACTTTGGGGGCCTCCCCTGGTGGCGCAGCAGTTGAGTGCTGGGTTGCGAGGCTGCCCGCAGCCTCTGCAGCGCAGGTTCGATCCCCGGCCACCGATGAGGGTCCCACATGGTGCACAGATCTCTCCAGCCACCCGCTGCTTCCCTCAGCAGTGTACTTCGTCAGTCTGCCTGTTCTGTTCCCCGCTCTGGCTCTGGTGAATTCTCTCACCCTTCCGCGCTTCTGGCTGTGCCCAGTGCTTGTATAAATAAAATAAATAAATCTTAAAAAAAAGAAAAGAACTTTGGAATATTTCTGTCACCCAAATACAACCTTGCCAGTTGAAACAAAGTATGCTTGATTGTCCTTCAAGGCTGAAATTGAGCAAATTTAAAATTAGCTAAGAAACTTTTGACCCTATTGGACAAGCTGTGGAGCATGAACTATGGCTGAGGTACCCAAATGCACGGGGATGACTTTGGTTTTCTCCTCCACAGGTAGCTCACTGGTCACCAGTGAGCTGACAGGTCAGCACATTCACTTATTAACTAACATTTATTGCACACTTGCTGTTTGCCAGGGTGAGGACTAGGCACGTCACCTTGATCGTCTTAATCAATCTTGGGATCCTATGACAAAAGTAATATAATTAAACCCCATTTTATCTTTACGAAAAAATAGAACCTTCTCATAGAGACTATTAGAGGACCTGGCCTGGGATCCAGATCGGTGTAACTCCAGAACTAGTGTTTTTAGCCCAGCTTTATGAGCTTGCCCCAGACCACACTGCAGTTAAGGGCTTCTATGACACAGCTGCACTGCCCTGGAGCCGCTGCTGGTGGTCTGAGTCGCCTGTGACAGATTTACTCTTTATTTTCTTTCAGTAATAGAGCTTATGGTTTATGGAACTATCAGGCACATCTCCAGAACCATAAATCCCTTTCATAAGTAGAGGGATTTCCTTTGTCTGGATTTTTAAAGAGACTTTATTTAGAAAGACCCCCCGTTTGTTGAGCAAACGCAGAGAATTTTTCTGTTTTCAACATGGGCACTTGAAAAAAGGGAACTGAAACACTTTAATGTCAGTGGCTGTGGCCAGATGGTTCTATAATAGAAGCAGAATTGACTGGGTTGAAGCCATTTGGGGAAGATCTTAGTGAACAGGATTAATTTGGGGAGATTTGTATTATGCTTAGAACGTTGCCACTACACCTTGTTTATTTATTTTTAAATTAAGAGGATTTATATCTTAGGTAACACAAATATAAATAGACGGTAGAAAACACCCCCAGGACTGAAACTAGAGAAGTAGTGTTAGAAAGGAAACAGCTGTAGGAGAAATTTCTTGAAATTCTGTTTATGATCACCACCTTTTGGGAGATGAAGAAAGGAAAGCAGATGTCTGCCTGTGGAATGTTTTACAGAGAATTGTTTATGATTATGTCACCCTGAGTAGGAGAAGTAAAAGAAATATTTAACATTTGGTTTGGAATGTAGGATGAATGTGGGATGATACGGAATTGGTGAGCAGGGCCTTGCCACAGACTATGTGGGTCAGTATCAGTTAGGGAAAGAGGGCTGGTGAGAAACTGGCCCTGCTTCTATGTACAGGAGTGTGTGTGTGTGTGTGTGTGTGTGTGTCCATGAGGACTGAAGGCTATCCCTAGTCAGAGGCACATTATTCTTTTTTTTAAGATTTATTTATGCATACAAAAGCTGGGGTACAGGCCAGAGGTGTGAGGGTGAGAGGATTTACCAGAGACAGAGTGGGGACCAGAACAGATGGATTGACTGAAATGCACTGCTTAGGGGAGCAGTGGGAGAGACAGGAGAGGTCTGGTGCACCATGTGAGACAGGAGAGGTCTCCCTGGCCAAGGATCAAAATTGTGCTGTGGTGACTACCAATAGCTTCATAGTGCTGAGACTTAACCCCTTGCACCACCAGGGAGGTCCCAGCAGGTTATTCTTTCTTTGTTTTGAAAAGATTTATTTATTTGTACAAGAACTGGGGTACAGGCCAGAGGCACGGGAGAGTGAGAGAATTCACCAGAAACAGAGCTGGGAGCAGAACAGGCAGACGGACTGAAAACACTGCTGAGGGGAACAGCAGGCAAGACAGGAGAGGTCTGCTGTGCCTTGTGGTTATCTCCCTGGCTAGCCGGGAATTGAACCCATGCTGTAGAGGCTGTGGACAGCTTAACAGTGCTGAGCTCAACCCCCTGTGCCACGGGGGAGGCCCCTGGCAGGTTATTCTTTGTAATGACATCTATCAAGTCCTGACTTGACCCCTAGTGATTTTCCACATAGGAAAAGCAACCAAGAATAGGAACTCAATATCAATCCCAGTGGGTATGAGAGGGTCACTAGTAGGCCCTCCATCCTGAATACCCAGCAGAGGGTGTCCTTGCAGCCAGGGTCATGAATGTGTGTGTGGGAGGGTGGCAGAGTGGGATTTAGGGGAGGTTAAGTGAGAAGGACAGGGCATGCTGCCAAATACCTATTACATCCCTTAGCCTGTCACTTCCCCCCTTTTAAACAGCCTGTTATTCTTGATTAGATCTTACTGTATGGGTGGGCTGAGAAGGAATTTTTTGTTATCTATTTCCTTCTATAAAAACATCTCCAGCTGGGGCCTCCCTGGTGGCGCAAGGGGTTAGGCACTGCACTATGAAGCAATCCGCAGCTTTTGTAGCACGAGTTTGATCCCCGGCCGGCCAGGGAGCAACCCACTGGTGTAGCAGACCTCTCCTGACTTGCCCACTGCTCCCCTCAGCAGTGTATTTCAGTCAGTCTGCCTGTTCTGTTCCCCACTCTGTCTCTGGTGAATCCTCTCACCCCCCGCATCTCTGGTGTGTATGCCAGCTCTTGTGTGCATGAATAAATAAATCTTAAAAAAAAAATCTCCAGCTCATTCAGAGATGCCATCTACAGCACAGCACTAGGGAGATCAGGAGATGGCAGGTTTTCTGCCTGTGTCTCTAAGCAGCTGTGGGACCTCGAACCAGTCACTTAGACTCTTAGGTTTGTGGTCAGTAAAACTTAATCACTTAAATCTAATGAATCAAATCACTTATAGTCTCACATGTGTTATCAGTAAAAGGATTAGTCAATTGTCAAAGGAGGATTTCTTTTTTAAGGAAATAATATTGCACTGTAACATTAGATTAAGTTTCAGGTCTGTGTGGTTGGAAATCAGCATGTGTGTATATAAGGTTAAGTTTCACCTCTAAAAATAAAAGGATGACTCTTAAGGTCCTTATCAATGTTAATTAACATTTACAGGGCAAACTTACCTGTAAAATTCACTTGAGGTTTTTGTGTCTGTCCAAATGCAGTGTGGCAATGGCCTTGAATGATATTTATAGTAAAAGATAGTAAATCGGTTGTAGTAGAGAACATAGGTCTAAAATAGATGGTTTCTGTTTGGAATGTCTCCCTCCTTCCTTCACATTGAAAATGTTTCTGCATTCTGTAATCTGATCCTTGACAAATATACCCCTATCTCCATAAAAGAAACATTTGTGGAGGGTTCTTGAAGTTGTTTGTTCATTATAACTTTACCCCTCTTAAATGTAGCATGTATTAGTCTCATAGCCTTGCATAATCATTTAGATCTTACTGCATTTTTAAGGAAATATGATACTGATTTCAGGCTAACTCTTTATATAATCACTTATTTCACTTCATTATAACATATCTCTTTTCCAATCTGCTTGGCAAATAAACTATGAACCCCTTGAAGGAAGAAATCATGTTTTATTTATCTTTCTAGTCCCAACTGCTGAGTATAGTATTCTGCTTCAATAGTTATCTTTTGAATAAAAGATAATTAACTCATCACTGTCAGTCCATAAGTTAGTCTTCAGACTTGGCTCCTTCTGACATTGCTTTGTGTGAAAGCACAGTAGTAGGGGGACTCTTGGGGTTCATTGAAAGTCTTCTTTTGCTGCTCTTTCCTCCCTATTCACTTAGTGGGTTTGAGAGGGGTGTACTTCAAAAAGACCCCCACCAGGTGCTCTTAATATACATATTTCCCATTTTCCTAGGGGATGAAAGGAACACATTCAAAAGTCACAATTTCCAGGCATTCTCACTGTGGGCTCTGGACGCCAGTTCCTAGGCTGCTTGCAGACTCCTAAGAGATGGATGGCAGCAAAATGAGTGGGGGTAGAATGGAGATAAATTCTTTCCAACTGTGTATACCTGCAGGAGTTCAGAGTGAGGGAAAATAATATGCCCGCTTCTGAATACATGCTCTCCTTTTCACCAGGGTAGGAAATCATACACACCCCAACTGAGGTCTCATGCACCAGGAGTGAGTGTGTTTTTAAGGCCAATTTGTTGATGCAGTTGGCATGGACGTTCTGAGAAGAAAAAGGGGAGACAAGAACAATTTCATGTAAAAATAAATCTTACCAACCTGCCTCTCAAGCATCAAGTTAATATAGTTATTCACAAAGAAACTTTGCCAAAAGGAAAAAGCTTCCAATATTTGGAAATATTAAACCAAAGCAATGAAACTGCATGAAACAGGAATATTTGGATTGAGCGTTAATTGGAAACAAACAGGTACTCATTAACTTTATGGAAGTTGGAGATCCTCAGCTCAAATACCAGGTCCTCAGAGGCCTTTCCTTGACCACCTGATCGAAACCAGCTGCCTGGTTCTCAGTCATTCTCTTTTGTGTCACTGATCTCATCATAGATCCTTTGCATTTTTTCCCACAGCACATATCACATATCATCTGAAATTATCTTATTTGTTTTCTTTTTAAAGATTTATTTATTTATTTATACAAGCACTGGGTACAGTCAGAAGCACAGGAGGGTGAGAGAATTCACCAGAGCCAGAGCGGGGAGCAGAGCAGGCAGAAGGACCGAAGTACACTGCTGAGGGGAGCAGCGGGCGGCAGGAGAGGTCTGCGCGCCATGTGGGACCCTCTCCTGGCAGCTGGGGATCGAACCGGCACTGCAGAGGCTGGGCAGCTTCGCAACCCAGCGCTCAACAGCTGTGCCACCGGGAAGGCCCAATCTTTTTTGTTTTCTATAGGATGTCCTTACGTGCAGGCATCCTCTTTACCTTATTTCCTACTTGGCAAGAGTAAGTGCTCAGTAAATATGGTAAAATGATGGAAAGTGTATTATGTGTGAATTGCTCATCAGAAACAGTTGTCTAAAACCATTTTTCGGGCCTCCCCGGTGGCACAGCGGTTGAGCGCTGGGTTGCGAAGCTGCCCGCGGCCTCTGTGGTGCCGGTTCGATCCCCGGCTGCTCCCCGGCCACCGGAGGAGGGTCCCACATGGTGCGCAGACCTCTCCTGCCGCCCGCTGCTCCCCTCAGCAGTGTACTTCGGTCCTTCTGCCTGCTCTGCTCCCCGCTCTGGCTCTGGTGAATTCTCTCACCCTCTGGCGCTTCTGACTACCCAGTGCATGTATAAAACAAACAAACAAACAAATAATAAATAAGACATGCCTCTAGAAAATTAAATAAATAAATAAATAAAACCATTTTTCAAGATGGAAAAAGTCATAAAAAAACCACTGTTCAGGAATGGCTTCAAAAGAATGCTTGGGTAGTCTTCATAGCCTGGTGACTAGAGACCCGGATACCTGGATGTGTCTCCAGTAAAGCCCAGAAAAACTCCCAATATATAGCTATTGAATGAAAATTTCTAGAGTTTGTTCAAGTTTGTGCTTATGGTGTTAAGAACTGTAGCAGCAGGAAGGCCAGAGCAGGATCTCTATGATCGGAGCAGATGGGTAAGGAGGAGTTCTGGAGCATTCAGTGGCTTTTTCAGACTTTTATTGAATTTACCAGGTACTCGGCAGGCTGGGGGGCTGGGAATCTGGCAGGCCTGCCAGCCCCCAGCAAGTCTTCAATCTTCCTGGACTCTCCAGCGTGCCCTCGTGGCCTCTGCTTCTCTGCTGGTTCTCTTCCAGTACTTCACTTGTTCTCCTTCTGGTCTGTTTTCTCTTCTTCTGGCTTCCCTGTGATGCCGCCCCTATGGATCTCCCAGCCCAGGTGTACCCATCTACATACGCCCACACCCAACTCCAGGTGTCCACAATCAGGTATCCATTCAGGACCATAGGGATCCATCGTCAATCCTAATGGTGGGAGGGCAGAAAAACCTGATACTTTACTTACCCTACAAGAACATATTATTTTAAAACACTCAGACCGCAGGGCCTGGAGTATAACAGAAGAACAAAATATGAAATTCTTTTATAAGTAATTTCATGCTCAAGGAATGCCTATACTTGCTAACCCCAAGAAATATTTTCTTTTGTCTTTTATGAAAACATGAAGCTACTGGAGTGCTTATAAAATTAAACATTAGGGCCTCCCCGGTGGCGCAGTGGTTGAGCACTGGGCTGCGAAGCTGCAAGAGGCCTCTGCAGCAACAGTTCGATCCCCGGCTGCTCCCAGGCCACAGGAGGAGGGTCCCACATGGCGCGCAGACCTCTCCTGCCGCCCGCTGCTCCCCTCAGCAGTGTACTTCGGTCCTTCTGCCTGCTCTGCTCCCTGCTCTGGCTCTGGTGAATTCTCTCACCCTCCCGCGCTTCTTGCTGACTGTACCCAGTGCTTGTATAAATAAATAAATAAATCTTTAAAAAAAAATAAAATTAAACATTAAATAGACTATTCTCTTGACTGTTTTATGCAATAGTATAGATGATGGCATCAAAGATGGTAGTTCAGGTTCAAACTCGCTTTTTACTAGTTTAAGTCAGTTAATCTATGTAAGTCTCATTTTCTTTAGCTGTTAAAAATTAAAAAGGCAAAAATACCAACTTTACTGCTCTTCCCAAGGTGGCTGTTAGATGCCAGGATATAGTGAGCTTGAAAGTGCTTAATAACAGTGCCAATGATTAAGGATGGAAACATGTGGCTTTGTGACTGGTGGAGGAAATAATTCTAGTTTAATGGCTATTGCAAAATACTCAATTGCTTGAACTCTAGTAATATGTTTGCCTCCAAGAGCAGATGAAGTGGTAAATGATGATCGGGGAGAACCTGAAGTTATGGAGCAATTTCTGTGCTAATTGGGCCACATCTCAGTAGTGTGTTTTTTGGAAATTGGAATAGATATCTGGAAATCTAATTATATGGTCTCTTATCTAAAGTAACAGGCACTAAATCAGAAAATTGTTTCCTGATCCCTTCTATATCTTTATGAACATTCAAGTGGTTCAATCTTTTCTTACTCTACCCTCTCTTTTCCAACCCATTAAACTACCTTTTTACATTAAAAATTCCTATTTTCCTCATGAAAACACTTCATTTCCTGGCCCAGCAACTTTCATAGAAGGAAAAATGCTTAAGTTTTAACAGTGGTTATCTCAGGATCATAAGATTAAGAGTAATATTTCTTATTATATTTCTCTGTACCTACCAAATTTTCCATTATGAACATACTAAGAAAAGCAAGGCAGTAGCATATTTAGGCAACATTATGCAAAGAGGATTTTTAAGAATATTATCCTAGGAAATACCTGTAAGGGCAGGAGGACATGGAGCAGGATCTCTATGACCCGAGCAGATGGGTGAAGGAGGAATGCTAGAGCTCTCAGTGGCTTTTTAGGATTTTATTGGGATTTACCAGCACCCAGCAGGCAGGGGTGCTGGGGGCCCGGGAGGCTGGCAGGCCTCCCAGCCCCCAACAAATCTTCACTCTTTCTAGGCTCTCCGGCCTTCTCTGGTGGTCTCCGCTTCTCTCTCTCGTTCTCTTGTGGTTCTCTCTCTGCTGGTGTCTTTGTGATGCCGCCCTTATAAGCCCAGTCCCTCAGGCGTACCCACTTACACATGCCCACACCCTACTCCAGGTGCCCGCCATCAGGCATGCATTCAGGACCACAGGGTTCCGTCATCTATCCTAATGGTGGGAGGGCAGAAAAGCCTGATACCATTTTCACTTACCCTACAATACCTTATAGGGAATAAGCTAGGTCACCCAAAACATTTGGGAAATACTAGACACTACAGCCTCTTGAAAGAGTCCCCAAACACAACAGCATATTAAATATTTGCAAGATCCAGGAAAAAAGAAACCTGATTAATTTTGTTTAATTCAACATTTTCCCATTTTGGGGACATGTTTTTCATGCAAAATCTGTAATTATTTTGTGAAACTAGCAACTCACAGTATCTTTTTGGAAAGCATAGGTAGTTGGGAATGTCTTTCTTTTGATGAGTAGGATGATGACATAATTACATTAGAATTAAAAACAAAAAAGATGAAGACATGACTTTCTCATTATAGACCGATGGATCATTAGTGGTCATTTTTGGTCCACGGGCACCACAAATCCTGCAAGTTATGTGGACAGTGTTTAGTTTCTATACATATATGTACTGTATTTCTGGAGAAAGGGTTCATAACACTCAATATATTATAAGGCACATCCTGAAAAAAAATATAGAACCATGGACATAAATTAAAACCAGTTCCTTGACATCCATTTCTTTTGCCTAAACTAACTTTGTCATCAAAACAAAGCAGAAAAATCATGAAATCTGTCACCATACTTAGCAAAAAAACAAAAACAAAAAACCAAGCTGAACAAGATGCCCAATTAAATGTGAATTTCAGATCAACAATAGACAACTTCTTTTTAGCACAAAGATGTAGGATGCAACATCTTGTTTGAAAAACTGTTATTTATGAAATTGGACATCCTGTTATCAAAAACCTTACTCGGATTTATTAACACTGGAGCTCTGGAGTACATGTGAGAAATGCCTTTCTATATATGTGGTCTATAGATAGGAGCTTAGATAGGAACATCACCTGAAAGCTTACTAGAAATGCAACCAAAGCCTCCATCACCCACCTACTGAGTTGGAATCTGCCTGGTATTCAGCTCTCCATGTGACAAGATCCCATGTTAAAGTTTGAAAAGTTCTGATAAAAAGAACTCCTGACAAGATAGTTTTCAACATGGATTTCATTTTGGAATCACCTGGAAGCTTTAAAATTAGAAATGCCTGGGCTCATTCGCCAGGGCAGGAGATTTAGTTGATCTGAGGCACAGAGTAAATAAACATTCATATTTTGAATTTCTCACACCTGGGCCTCCCTGGTGGCACAAGGGGTTAAGTCTCAGCACTATCAAGCTATCGCCAGCCACTGCAACATGCATTTGATCCCTGGCCAGGGAGCTACCCACATGGCACAGCAGATCTCTCCTGTCTCGTCTGCTGCTCCCCTCAGCAGTGTATTTCAGTGGATCTGCGTGTTCTGCTCCCTACTCTGTCTCTGGTAAATCCTCTCACTGCCCACCGCACCCACCTCCCAACTCTGCAACTCTGGCCTACATCCCAGCTCTTGTATGCATAAATAAAAATAAATCTTAAAAAAAAC